TGATTTTTTCCTTAGACGTTAATAGTAGCAAGGCCCTTATTCACTCATCTCTCAAGATTCTTTGCTTAAATTATCAGAGCTGTTGACTGTGAATTTGTACTGTAGAGGAGCAGATATTTATGGTTTGTTTGTTTTTTAAATAATACTGTACAGTGGTACCTTGTTTCTTGAACTTAATCCGTTCTGGGAGTCCGTTCGACTCCCGAAACAGTTTGAAAACCAAGGCACGGCTTCCAGTTGGCTGCAGGAGCTTCCTGCACTCAATCAGAAGCTGCGCTGGACGTTCGGCTTCTGAAAAACGTTCGCGAAACAGAACATTTACTTCTGGGATTGCGGCATTTGGGAGCCGATTTGTTCGGGAGCCAAGCCATTTGAGTACCAAGGTATCACTGTATCCATCTGTTGAAGTAAGGAAATATTGTGTCGCTGAATTGTTATTATTATTATTTTAATCAGATTATAAATGAGAAATATGCAGGCTACTCTTTTGAGCTTGGTAAAAACGCCACAGATTCTGATAAAGTGAAGCTACTCTGGTGTTCCTAGCTTGTTGTTGTTGTTTAGTCGTTTAGTCGTGTCCGACTCTTCGTGACCCCATGGACCAGAGCACACCAGGCACTCCTGTCTTCCACTGCCTCCCGCAGTTTGGTCAAACTCACGTTGGTAGCTTCGTGAACACTGTCCAACCATCTCGTCCTCTGTCGTCCCCTTCTCCTTGTGCCCTCCATCTTTCCCAACATCAGGGTCTTTTCCAGGGAGTCTTCTCTTCTCATGAGGTGGCCAAAGTATTGGAGCCTCAGCTTCAGGATGTGTCCTTCCAGTGAGCACTCAGGGCTAATTTCCTTAAGAATGGAGAGGTTTGATCTTCTTTCAGTCCATGGGACTCTCAAGAGTCTCCTCCAGCACCATAATTCAAAAGCATCAATTCTTCGGCAATCAGCCTTCTTTATGGTACAGCTCTCACTTCCATACGTAACTACTGGGAAAACCATAGCTTTAGATGCCATAAATCAAAGGTGAGGAACCGTGTCTAGTCCAAGGGCCTTGATTCTTTCTGAGCAGCCTTTTGGGGGTCACATGCCATTGGTGGGCAGGGCCAGAGAAAAATGTGGATGGGGCTAATAATGCAGTTTTTACCTTTCTACAGTAGGCTGGTTTCTGCACACATTTACATACTCTGCTCTATCTTCCATCCAGGCAAACAAGAGGCATTTTGCGAGTTAAAGGACACATCCCAGGCAGGCAAAAATCCTCAAAGAGGATATGAAGTAAGGGCAGGGAGAGGCATGGCCTGGGGAAGAGCCCTGAGGGACAGATAGAGGCTTGGAGGGCCATATTTTGTCCCCAGGCCACATAGAGTTGCCATATGTCCTCTTTTTCCAGAACACGCCCTCTTTTTCAGGATTTAAATTTCTGTCTGGGTGGATTTTTTAAAAATTGCCAAAATGCCCTGGGTTTTCTTGTTGTTTGTTTTTGTTGTGTGTTTACAGTAACCCAATTTTTTTTTTAAATGAAAACAATTTTAAAATTCTGATGCGTCACGCTCCTACCCGTGCCATTTTTCATTAATGGATTGTACATTAATTAAAACAGTTTACTAAATTGTTCTGCGCACACTTGCGTTCATAAAAATGTGAACATCCCAAATACTTTCATGTAGCAAGTGAGGAAGCAAAATTTGTATTATTATTATTATTATTTTGTTGTTGAAAGTTGCTTCTAGCAATATCTCACAGTTTCTACAGCCTACATATAGCAGGGGTGATTTAAAATGAGTGTCGTCGTAGCGATCCGTAGCTAAAAGTACAAGTTGTCAAATGTGTTTTCTCTTTTGCTTTTCAAAATACAGTACGGCAACGCTAACTGAGGTTCCCCACCCATGCCATAAATGAAAGGGTTTCACGAGAACACAATAGTGAGGGGCTGTTCTTAGATCCAGCCTTCTGCTTGCTAGATATACAGGTAGCATCTGTAGCTCCCGGTGCCTTTCAGAGTTTTTCCCCCTGGTGTCCCAGCTTTGCTCCTCCTCAGGAAGAAATGATCAGGCCACAGTTGTTGTAACATCCAGGGTAGATCACTGTATGTGTGCGTTAAACACTTGCTTTGATGCAGATTGCTAACAGGAGCTGACCTTCAATGCTCCAAATGGGGGATATAAGCCCAAGCTATCCAAAGGACCATCTTCCTTCACATAAAAGGTAAAGGGACCCCTGACCATTAGGTCCAGTCGTGGCCGACTCTGGGGTTGTGGCGCTCATCTCGTTTTATTGGCTGAGGGAGCCGGCGTAGTTTCCGGGTCATGTGGCCAGCATGACCAAGCTGCTTCTGGCGAACCAGAGCAGTGCATGGAAACACCGTTTACCTTCCCTTCGGAGTGGTACCTATTTATCTACTTGCACTTTGACGTGCTTTCGAACTGCTAAGTTGGCAGGAGCAGGGACCGAGCAACGGGAGCTCAACCCTGTCACGGGGATTCGAACCACCGACCTTCTGATCGGCAAGTCCTAGGCTCTGTGGTTTAACCCACAGTGCCACCCACGTCCCTTTCACATGGTCACCAATTAAGATTCTGCCGAGCAGCCTTTTTCTGTGTCTCTGCATTCTGGGCTGAAGTGGTTGCCTTTGCAATTTCCATGCTGTGGGAGCTTTTGCTATTTTGGCGTCAGTTGTTTTCGAGTTTTAAATGTTCTGGTTTATTTCTTGCATTGCTTTTATAAACCATCGTGAAGATGTTTGCACCACAAGTGGGGTGTAAATCCTATCAACGAATAAATTACAGTTGCCAGCTATTTTAGTTATTCTCAGCTAGGTAATTTTGGACCTAGGGCTTAATGGTTTTGTAGCAGACGGGGTGGGGGGACAGCTCCGTTACTTCAGTTGTGAAGCAAACAATTAAATTTCCTCTTTCCCCCCTTCTGCATTCCTGATGTTCTAATCTAGAGCATGGGTAGGCAAACTAAGGCCCGGGGGCCAGATCTGGCCAAATCACCTTCTCAATCCAGCCTGCAGACGTTCTGGGAATCAGCATGTTTTTACATGAGTAGAATGTGTCCTTTTATTTAAAATGCATCTTTGGGTTATTTGTGGGGCATAGGAATTCATTCATATTTTGTTTTCAAAATATAGTCCGCCCCCCAACAAAGTCTGAAACTTTCCCCTGCTGAAAAAGTTTGCTGACCTCTGTTCTAGAGGAGCTGGGAAGAGTCTTAAAAGTCAATTTTCTTTTGTTTGTTTTTTAAAATGCAGATTCACATTTTCAGCTTAAATCATGAATATATGAATAAACTGGAGTTTGCTTTGGTTGCTAAATGTATTTACTGGGAAGCAAGCCTCATTTTGTTGTAGAAAAGGAAAATAGGTAGAATTCTATGTCGAGCTGAGGTGATCGTTCTACCAGTGCAGCTATAGATAGATAGATGATAGATAGATAGATAGATAGATAGACAGATAGACAGATAGATATTCTAGAGCAAATAGTTTTCCGGAGTCTATTGGTTCCTGTGGGCTTAGCTGCACAGCCACCAAAAATGTTTCCTAACTGCATTTCTTGAACTTAAATTCCATTTGAAACACAGAAAAGAGAGTTGATTGCCCAACATTGTTTTGGAGTTAATATGGTATCCTTTTCCTTAGTCAACAGTATATGACTAAGAAAGGTTCAGATCAAGAATTCCTAACTGAAGAAAGAAACCATTTCAGTTCATGCACAGAAATAACACACACCCCAATTTGGCAATGTGCTAATGCCAATTCATAAACCAGAGGGCTTTTATTCTCAGCACACTCAGTGCATCCCTCAAATTTATAATCCAGGTGCCAAATGGATTTAACAGCTGATATCAAAATGGGAGCAAATTACTGTGAGTTGAGATTTTGAAGTTGCTGTGAAAATTATAATAAGAAGCAACAAGACAAAGGTTGGAGACTTTTTAAAAAATTATTAGTAATAGCAGGTTGCCATCTGTTTTTCTCTGCTCAGCTAAACAATGATAAAAAAATGTGTGTGTGAGAGAGAGAAGGAATAGAAATTAGATTGCTGATCTCTCCACCTCCAGTTAAACTAGCTGCACTGCTTTGTACGCACTAGCTCAAATTTAAAAAAAACACAAAAAACTGTCAACCAGTTTTTTTATTAAAAAAAAGCAGTGAGAGGAACTGATGGAAATGTGTCTCTATATAAGCAAACACGGAATCTATAACACTACATCGGCATGTTTGCTGTGTCATAACAGAACCAACCTTTTCTAGCTTAGAAAGTGGAGGTTGCTTCAGGGATCCTTTGTTGTATAAACAGAATAAGTTTCTAGCTCTCTTGGTAATTAAATCAAAACATGAGAATGGGGAGGCAGTTTAGAAGAAGTTGTGTGTTTGCTTCAAACAGTCCATGGTTCCATTGGTCTCTTATGCCAGTCCGTGTAGTAGAGGCAATAGAGGGCTATCTATACTTGGTACTGTATAAGGCAATTAGCTGCTTCTACGCGGGTGTGTGGGTTAAACCACAGAGCCTAGGACTTGCTGATCAGAACGTCAGTGGCTCCCGTTGCTCGGTCCCAGCTCCTGCCAACCTTAGCAGTTCGAAAGCACGTCAAAGTGCAAGTAGATAAAGAGGTACTGCTCCGGCGGGAAGGTAAACGGCATTTCTGTGCGCTGCTCTGGTTCGCCAGAAGCGGCTTAGTCATGCTGGCCACATGTCCCGGAAGCTGTACGCCGGCTCCCTCAGCCAATAAAGCGAGATGAACGCCATAACCCCAGAGTCATCCACGACTGGACCTAATGGTCAGAGGTCCTTTTACCTTTACCTATGACAAGCTGGTGTAAAGGCACAGGAGCAGGTCAGCTGGCAATCCTGTATGAAATAATTTATACAGATAAAGGATTAGTGGAATGGCCGGGCTGCAGGAATGCCAGACCGCTGCAGTTGTTCTCAAATCAAGCAACCTTCCACCCCACCCCCAATCCCTCCCGCGTCACCCGGCCCCTTCTATAGGAAAACCCTCGCATAAGCCAGAGGCATAATCGCCTCGGGACGCCTCGCCGCTGGCGCATTGACCACGTGCGCTCCGCAACGCGTCATTCTCCCTATGTAAACAAGAGGGCGGGACTATGCGAAATAAGATCCCGCCCTTTCTCGAAACTCCAAGCGCGACTCCCACGCCAGGTGCAGAACTTCAAAACGGCGGCGGCGTGGGAGAACTTCGGGATCTTCCTCGTCATAAATCACTTTGGGCCGGGTAACCCCCCCCCTTCCCCGAGCTCGGCTGCTTTGGCGCAAGGTGGGAAAGAGGAGGAAGGGAAGTGGGGGAAAGAAAGACCGAGCCTGGGCTCGGGGCCTGGAAGGGCGCGGCGTCCCGTCCCATCCCTCTGATCCTGCGGGCAGGCGCAAATCCTCCTGTTTGCACAGCCAACACGTCCGCATCTTGGAGGAATCCCGGGCGCGACGTGCCTAGCGCCCGCTCCTGGAGGCAGCCTTGGGAAGGGGGAAGGCGCTCCGCTCGCTCCCCACAAGCCGCCCCCGGCCTGAGCGGGGGACCCACGTGCTCTTCCAGACCCGCAGCCAGCTCGGCGCGCAGTTTCTAGCTAGGCTGCAAAGCTCACCGTCATCCCTGCTCTGCCCTGGCGAGGAGCCGATCGCTGCTCTCTCCTCCCTCTCTCCCTCTCTCTCCACCGCTCGAGGCAGAGTTGCTGCTGGGTCCACTGAGTTGGCTTCCCTGCCACCAGCTCCTGGGCGAACCGCGCTGGAGACGCCGGCCACCGACGCTTCTTCTGCGCCACCGTCCCACGAAGGGGGTCTGGCGGCTCGCCGGAGGTGGGGGGCCGTTGCGATCGTGGGCTTGGCGACGCCGGAGAATCGCCCCCTATAAAGCGACCTCCCTTGGCAAGGTCACCCGAGGGGAAGAAGAAGAAGAAGGCGCTCTTCTTCGCAGCGCCCGCGCGCGCCCTTGCCGTCTCTTCGGAAAGCGCCAAGGCGACGCGGCTGGCCCGGGGTACGTGGACGCGGGTTCCTACTGCCCCCTAAAGCGGTCGTGGCGCGTTCCCCACGCCTTTCGGCTGCAGAGCTTTCCCGCGAAGTTGTGGCCCCTGCGGCGCGCCGGCTTCCCCCGCTTCTCCTCCCTTTTGCAGGCTCATCTGGGCTTGCAACGCGAGGGGGGATCCTCGACCGACCCGCCGCTGGATCGCGACTTTTCTTGCTCCTGCGAGCATCGCCCCCCCCCAAACACCACCACCACGCATGAAACCTTTTGGCGCTCGATGGTTTTAATCCCGCAGGATTTGCAAGCCGGGAGGGGGCTTCCTCCGGCCTCATGAGGAAGCAGCAGCAGCAGCAGCAGGGGAAGCCCCCCACTTCCATGACCAGGAGGAGGAGGCACCTCTCCTCCATCCGCGGGATGAGCGCGATGTCTGCGACGCTGCCACAGAAGAAGGGCAGGCGCCTCCCCGCGTGGCGTGGCGCGGCTCCTAGTGGGACTAAGGCGGCAGCAGCAGCAGCAGCAGCGGGAGCTCAATGACCAAAAGGGGCTGAGGAAGAGTAACCGGGAGGGCTCGCGGGTGAGCGCTCACCTCGCGTGGACTAGCAGGGCAGGAGGCGCAAAAGTTTGGCCAAGTTGAGGGCGCGCGCCTAAAAGGTTTCGAAAGGTCCGGCTCCCTTTGGCCTGTGCAGTTGGATCGAAGCTACATCAGCGCCAGCATGCCAGCTGGAGGACGCCTCTGGTCTCTCGAGGGATATTTCCCTTAAGGGGGGGGGCAAAAAAAATACTACCCACGCAACAACACCCACCCGGTCTCTGGCTGCAGGAGCCAGCATGGAAGAGAAAGGGGCCAGGCTGCATCGGCGGCTTTGAAAGTTTGCCAAACACCTCCGAGGTTGCTTTTCTTCCTCCAGCCCCCTCGCCGAAAGAGGAGCGACTGAGAGGAAGGGCAGAGAGAGGGGGGCAGATCGGGGGTGGGGGTGGGGGTCGACCAGGGAGTTGGCTGCTTCCAAGCATGGGAGACAGGTTGCCGGAGCCAAGCCGTGCAAACCCTTCTCCCGCGGTGGCCGCCTGCTCGGAAGCAGAAGCGATCGAGGTCCTGGAATCCGAGGATGTCCTGCCTATGGCTACGGAGGACGTGAGTTTCATTTGATGTCTCTCTCCCCTCCCCGCCTCCCCCTCCGTTCCCAGTTGACTTTAATCGGATCAAGCTATTTAAAAATAAACTTCGGAATTAAAGGGAGGGGAAGTTTGATTCTTTCTAGGAAGAGAAAGTGGGAAGAAAATGAGGTTCCTCCCCTCCCCATCATTGGGGTGCCCAAAGTGGCCCCTCTGCAGCAAGATCCTGGGCCTGTTTACACGGGAGTAAGCACCACTCACTTGAGTGGGCGTTACTTCTAGGTAGGTGTGCATAGGATGGAGCCTGAATAGCTTTGCTTTTTAACCAGTGGGTGAGCTCAGTGTGATTCTGCAGATTATCCGTACTCCTATAGAGATAGCTATATGCATAGGTGTCGTTTTAATTCCATACCCCCCCCCCAAGGAGACAGCACAGCAAGTTTTTTCTTGGACCAAATTAAAAGCATTTCCCCCCTTTCCGCAAAATGCTGTGTGTTAGTTTGCACCAGCATAGAAAGGGGTAAAGAGTTGGTGATACACCCCAGACTGCTCTGTGCTGTGATTCAATAGGCAGTTGCTGCAAAGCACATTGGATAACCTTGGGCGGGTGACCAACACTCAGGCTAGCCCTACCTTGCAGGGTTGGTGTGAGAATAAAATGGGCTAATTCCCCGATTTGCTTGGAGGAATGGTTTGATACAGATGTAAAATAATCAGAGGTATCTCACAGAGACAATGAAAAAACAACCCCCCACATGTTGCTCACCCTTACTTTGGTGCTGGATGATTACTTCTAGGGCAGATCCACACCATCATTATTCAGTGCATATTTAAAGCACATGACTTCCCTCCAAAATTATGGCAACTGTAGTTTGTTAAGGATGTTGGAAATGGTAACTCTGTGAAGGAGAAACTGCACTTCCCAAGGTTCTTTAGGGGGAAGTCATGTGCTTTAAATATGCATTGAATATGCTTTATTATATCTATGGTGTAGATCTGCCCCCTTGTTGCTACTACTGCCTCCCTCCTGCTGTCAAATCATGACTTCCTGCTGAATAATGCAGTGGTACATAAGTGCCCCCAACCTGCCAGATGTAGCTGTGGACATGTGGTGGGTAATTTGTGCTAATGCACAATGTCATCTGCAAGAGCTTTAGCTTACATTTGAACAAATGCAGTGTGCTCAGCGGATCACTCACACTCTTCCCAACAGCTTGACTGTTTGCTGCAAGCTTTTCATATTGGTTTGTTGTCATCCCTCCCCACATGTGGAACCTTCAGTCATTCAGAAATTATTACTGGCACTAATATCATCTCGGGGATAAGAAAATAAATGCAATGAGATTTCAAAGAAATTACTCTTCTTCCTAGTCGTTTGAGGCGATTTTGTAGCAAAGCACATTTGGGTCTGAATCCCACAGCCGGTTTGGGATGTGACCACATGTACTTTCATTTTCATTAAGTGTGTGCTCAGTACTTTCAATGTGAACCTCCAGCCTTCCTAAGCAGCCTAACTTAGTTGTAAGCCTTAATCTCTAAAGATTCTTAAACAGTGAACCTTATTAGTTACCAAGTATTTCCCTGAGAATGCATCCCCCCACTTCATCTCCAGCTGACGGTTGGCGGAAGATTTAGGGATGCTTTATATTGCTCTTAACCCGCAACTGCTGCAAGATTAATCACTAAATGGCAACCAGAGCGCTTGGGTCTCAGGGATGGCACATTCTGCTATCTAAGCACTTTTAAAGCAAATAGTCCTGTGACAGTGAGCGATTCCCCGAGAGCAATTTCCTCCTGTTGGTTTTCTAACTCATCCTATTATTTGATTGTATTTGTTTCCTTTCTGAAGATTTCCTGGTGCAAAAGCAATCCACATATTCAAGCTGCTGGTGCTTGAATAACACACAGGAGAGCCTTTGCCATAATTCAGAATGCTTCTAGTGGTATTAGCAGGCAGAAACCTCCTAATTCCCTAGCAACTTTCCTGGCAGAATTAGAGGGGCTGGAATGCAGCGGAGGACCATTTAGTCTAGGGATGAGGAGCCTGTTGTCCTCCAGATGCAAGTCCCATCATCCTTGAGCACTGAGCATGCTGGCTGGGACTGATGGGAGTTGGGAGTCCAACAGCATTTGGTGATCTACAGGTTTCCCATCCTTTCACTAGTCCTTTGTTTCAGGTGTTCTTTCAAAAATGTACCAGGAGTTCCTCATTGAGGAGACCAGCAATGGCTGAAAGAACAGCTTGGCCGCCACCATCTTTCTCTGCAATGTGCAGCCAGTCCAGAGCTGCTTTCTAAGATGCAAGTCCCATTGAGTTCATTGGGGTTATCCACTGGCAAGTTCAGTACTTCAGCCTTAGTTTCAGACTTGCATAACTGGTTTGAGTCGCTCACAGAAGTAGGGCAACTCTTGTGGCATCTCCTAAAAACCTTGGGAATTGTAGTTGTGCCTGTTCTTTGTGAAAGGTCTGCAGCTATCTCATAGAACTACATAGAGCTGTGGCTGTTACAAAGTTTGGAAAGTTACAACAGCCATTGGTGCAGCACAGCTAAGACAGTAGCGTAGATGTCCTGACTCCTGCTTTTTAAATAAAATAAATGCACAACTTGTTGGTATCTTCTGTTAGTGTTTTAGCGAGCTTGTGGCAAGAGTGCCGAAGAGTAGGGTAGAAAAATCCACTTGCTGTTTCTTGCCGACTTCCTATCCACGCGTCCCATTACTTCCTGCTTTATAGAACCATAGAGTTGGAAGGAACCAAAGTCCATCTACTCCAACCTGCTGCCCAAAGGCAAAGCTGCCAAGCCACCAACCCCCCACAGATCAACCTCTGCTGTCCAGGACACAGTGTGACTCAATCAGAGGGCAGAAGCATGTGAGAAAGGTACGTGCAGAGGACCTAGCTCGGAGCAAAGTAGTGCTTCCAAATGTAGCGACGATACTGATGTGTGTTTTCTCATGCCAAGTGGCAAATTGACTTGTCTGGTGGGATGTGGGGTTGTTGGGGAAAGGCTGCAGCAAGATCCTGTCGCTGCACGATGTGGCCCCCATTCTCCTGTCAGGCAGTTTCATCATGAGTAGAAGGGTGGCAGTCAATGTCAATGGTATCTCGTAGCTCCTGTGCACCTTCTGCATGGGGTGAACCCACCCACTCCAATGGGTAGGCTTACATCTGTACTCCTTTGTGGATGGGTGTCAGCACAGAGACATGAAGCGTGAGTGCCGGCAGGACTAGGACCAAAGTTGGATTAAGTTCTGGAGAACGTCAACAGGAGGAGAACCTTCAGAGGCATGTCATTTGAAGGGAGGGGAAGCTGAGCTAGAATGAGGGTGCTGAAGGGCAAGCTGGCAGATCGGGAGGAGGAAAGCGTGGAGGGAGGAGGCAGGTGGGATCAAAACCAAAGCAGAGATGGTACCTGACTGTTGCCCAGGTAAAGATTCAGGTCTGACCTGGAATTATTTGTAACCAGGCAAGGCAAGAAGGAACCAATGAGCAGTCTGGAGGGGGTGGGAGTGGGAGGAGCTGCGTTAGGATAATGCCCCTTCTTCCACCACTAGCACACTAGTTACTAGTGCACCAACACGGATGCCCTTGGTGTGTCATGGCTGGATGTTTAGGAGTGGTGGGAGGCACTGGGGGGGGGGTGGAACCCCCAGGGGAAGAAAGCTCAGAGCCTGGAGATTGGTGGTGGGACAATGATGCAAGGTATGCTTAATGCTGTAGTGCCATTTCTGCAGGGGCTGCCCATCCCATTTCAGCGCCTGAAGCTAAATGGAAAGGTGCTGCTCCACTGCCACTGCCCAAGTGCAGCTGTGGTGGTGGTGGCGGTTTCTGGGTTCTGGAAAGATCTTGCCGAAAGCTGCCGCTTCTCCTCGCTTCTCTGGTGGTGGGACAAGCGAGGAGAAGCTGCTGTGGCTTCCAATAGGATCTTACCAGAACCTAGAAGCTGCTATCACTTGTTCTCTTGCAGCCGCAGCAGCAGGTGGCAGTGCATTGAGGGTTTGATCATGCCCTTCCCCCGCCCCCGCTCCCCTGTGGCTCTTGCTGCTGAAGCAGACTGCTTCCTTTTGCCTCATTAAAAGGCTGTCCCTGCATTTCTGGCTACAAAGCCACAACTAAGCAGGAGAAAGAGCTTAAACAGAGGGAACCAAAGGACTTGAAGAACCTCACCCAACCCTCCCATTTTTGAAAAAGGACAAGGACTTTGGGGCATGTGGGGCAAGTTTTGTGCTGAGCCCAGAAAAAACTGGCTTGGGCGCTGGTTGTCACCTCTTCCAGTTGCATCTCTCTCTCTGCAGGGTGAGATCCATGTGGAGCCCAGAATCCAAACTTAAAAGGGAATGTGCTGATTGGGGAAAGGAGCCTTTGTACCAGACCACAGGGGGAAGTATCGGATTCCTTAGTGCTTGTAACCCCCTTCTTAATATTTAAATACATTTGTCTTGCTGGATTTCTTTCCCAGAGAGTAATAATAAACCCGATATTATTACCTGGGAAAGCTATGTTTAACAATACATGTAATTAGAGAAGAGAAGCCACATTTAATATTACACAAGAGACCGGAACCGCTCTTTCAGAAGCAAACAGGCTTTTAAACCTCCATAATTATAGCCCCCCCCCCAAGTCTAGCATTTAAAATGCCTTAGATCTTGTTTTTAACTCCTTCTTGGGCCAGCATAGGTGGGTACGCGCCTCTCTTCTTCCATGAAACTATTAAAAGCAAGGGACTCTACAGCTAATCATAGAATTAAGTTAGGAACTGGGCTGGTTGTGCAAAACACTCACCATTAGGGTTGCCAACTGACCACAAGGAATTGGCCGGATCTGCTGCTGTCCCTTGTAACGGCAGCTTTATCTGCAGAAATCAGCATGTGAAGGTTGTTGTTGTTGTTTTGCAGCACGTGGATGCACATTTTCCCCCTGCTAATATCTGCAGATCATTGCTCAAGGCACACAGCAACAGAGGCTGGTTGAATACATTGCTGGTCTTCAGCTTGTGGGTCGCCTCTGAATCTTAGGTGGCACAAGTTCAGCTTTAAAAACAGCAGGGTGGGTTCTGGCAGGTGCATCCCCCCCCCTGCCTCTTCTGATCAGCAATCTGTACCTGTGGAAATCCCCTCTTCAGTTGTGGGTGGTGCAGGAGTCCCATTTCCCTTGGCACCTGTTCATTCTAGGGGGGAAAGGAGAAGGAGGGTCATAGGCAGATGTTAATATTAAATTGGTCCCACATTGCTGGTTGGGTGTCTTGGTTGAAGGTGACTTACAAGAGGTACCATATTTTTCACTCTATAAGACGCACATTTCCCCTTCAAAAATTAAGGGGAAATGTGTGCGCGTCTTATGGAGTGAATGCAGGCTCCTTGGCTTCAGCGATAGCAACGCGAAGCCTCCAAAGCGCAGAGGGAGAGCTCCCCCTGCGCTCTGGAGGCTTTGCATTGCTTTCGCTGAAGCCGCCTGAAGCCCCCGGAGCGCAGCGGGAATTCCTGCTGCGCTCCGGAGGCTTCAGGTGGCTATCCGCAAGCCTGAAGCCTGTTGAGCGAGAGGGGTTGGTGCACACCGATCCCAGGCTTCGCTTTGCTGGAGAGGCGCTGCACAGTTTTCCCTCTCTGCGCAGCACCCCTTCAGCGAAGCGGGAGGAGAAATGGAAGGGGCTCCGTTTCTCCTGCCGCTTTGCTGAAGGGGCGCTGAGCAGAGAGGGGGAGAAATTTTTTTCCCCTGTTCTCCCCCTCCTATGGTTTGGTGCGTCCTATGGTCCGGTGCGTCCTATAGAGCGGAAAATACGGTAATAGCTGCAAAAGGCACTTGTATGATCTGCCAAAGTAATGCCCAGTCAGGTTCATGCCGATGAGGTCTAACTGAAGGGATGCGTAATTTGTATCAGTGGTGGCGGCAGCAATGGCGGCAGCCCATACACACCAAGAGGGAAACCAGAGCACCTCGCTGCAAAGGAAGGCTCTGCTGCCAGGGATGTGTGGCATCGCTGTCTGGCGGCATCTGGAGTTGCATTAAACAAAAGCGTTGATCGAACATTAACTCTGAATCACTGGGCAGATTTACTGTGACAAGTGGGAGTTTTTATATAAAGGAATATTCACTCAGGCAAGAGCTCAGTTGTTTCTGTGGGATTCCAGGGAGTTAGTGCACAAAAGCTGAGCTCTTTAATAGAACAGTTTGCCGAGGTGGACCTGCCATGTGTTTTCAGGTTCGATTGGCTGGTGTTATGCGATCTGCTCTAACCGGAGGTTGTCAAGAGTGCACGGCCCTGTGTTCCTTATAATGTACAGTGGTTTAAAAAACCCCTGCTAGTTTAAGACTCTCATATCGATTCAAGTTCAACCAAGCCACGGAACTGCAAACCAAGGCTGATGCCCTAACAGATCCTATGCAATGTCATAAATTGCACTTAGTTGTAACTTCCCATCCAGGCACCTGCCCTTCTTCCTTGGTCTTTCAGGTACACATCCATATGAGAAGTGGCTCCTTCCTCAGAGCAAGGCATTCCGGGTAAGGTGGGCCTAGGAGAGTGCCAGTACTGCTGCTGCTTTGTCATGGTGACTAGAAAACCAATTTTAAAGAGTTTTGAAAGCTTATAAAGTTACTTTTAACATATATATTTTTTAAAGAAGATTTTCTAGCCAGTAGTGCAGGCATTTTCCTTGGCCACCTTTCCCTCACGCTGTGAGGAGATCTGTCATCTCCTTGGCAGTCCCCTCCAAATGATGCCTCCACAGCGGTTTCTTGCAAATAGGAGGCGCTGCTGGTCTCCTCACTCCCTTGATTTTGATGTAGTTCTTTATTCCGGCCGTGTTCCTGATGTAGATCTTCACTCAACTCTTCTTCCCTGGTTGGGGGGCGGGGGCGGCATTACTTGGTGGTTTGCCTCAGGTGCCAAAATGTCTTGGGCCAGGCCCTGTGTTGACAGTCTTTATCATCCACAAATTTGTCTCCTTTTAAAGACATCCAAGTTGGTGGCCATCTTGTGGTAGCGAATGCCATCGTTTTAACTATGCAAAGATATACTTTATTTTGTCTGTCCTATCTCCTCCAATGTTCAGGGTGTCTATATGTTTTAGTGCTGTGCGTGTGAGGGAAATTTTTTCTCTTTCCACTTTCTACATGCCATACATAACTTTATAAACTCCTGTCATAACACCCCTCACTTGTCTTCGCCCCACCCCAAGCTTAAAAAGTCCCAAATGTGGTAACCTTTCCTCATGGGGTTTTAAGATGCATTATACTTGTATAAAGCCATTATGATAGTGGCAGTTTTTTCTATCTTTATTTTAGATCTTGTTTGGTTTATGTGGAAATTGTTCAGTTGTGTAATAATAATAATAATAATAATAATAATAATAAATTATTTATTTATACCCCGCCCATCTGGCTGATTTTCCCCAGCCACTCTGGGCGGCTCCCAACAGAATATTAAAAACACGATAAAACATCAAACGTTAAAAACTTCCCTAAAAAGGGCTGCCTTCAGAAGTCTTCTAAATATCAGATAGTTGTTTATTTCCTTGACATCTGGATGGGAGGGCGTTCCACAGGGCGGGCGCCACTACCAAGAAGGCCCTCTGCCTGGTTCCCTGTAACTTTACTTCTTGCAGTGAGGGAACCGCCAGAAGGCCCTTGGAGCTGGACCTCAGTGTCCGGGCTGAACGATGGGGGTGGACTACGATGGTTTAGGACTACTTTTGTTATGTTGAAGTTACGTATTTTTTTCCTTCATGTTGTAAACTGCCTTGGGCATGGTTTGAACTGTGGAAAGGTGGCCTACAAATAAAATTATGTATGCATATATGTATGTGTGTACCATCCAGATGTTTTGGAGCTACAACTCTCATCAGCCCTAACCAGCATGGCCAGTGGTTATGGGCGATGGAAGTTGTAGTATAGCAACATCTGAGCTGCACCAGAGAGGGCTGCTCTACAGAGTGTTGTGCAACCAAACATAACTTCCAAATATCGGTGACGAAGTGTTCAGTGTGGAGGAAACGGCGGCCTCTGTTTGACATCTGTGATGGCAAGGGGGTTTGTGCCTCTGGTGTGGTCATAACTCTTCAGAGCAGCTCACTGTCCAAGGCAGCACCAGACTGCAGGACTTCCGTTTCCTATATTCTCCATTTGATTACCTGTCTCTCTAAAAAAATAAAAAATGTTTCTGGAATGAATGTACATTTCTGTGCTCTTACACTTTTCTTCCCCTTTCCCCCTCTTCTTTCTTTTATGCATTGCCTCTTCCCTCTGTCAGCACTGGAAAGCTCTGTTTGATCAGGTATGTGAATAATTCAGATTTTTTCTTCTCTCTAACACCTGCTAACAATGGAGACCCCGTGAGTTTGTTCAATGGGGGAATCTTTTGTAACATGTAGCTTATGTGCCGTTAGTGTGGCACTGATTTGGTTGCAGTCATGCTCGGCAAGCCTTACCCCCAACTCTGGGGTTCTGATGCCTGCTGTACTGTATCTTTGTACACCTTCCTTTAAATTCTTACCCTTATCAATGGATGACCCAAACCACTGAGGCTCTTGGGCTTGCCGATCAGAAGGTTGGCGGTTCGAATCCGCACAACGGGGTGAGCTCCTGTTGCTCTGTCCCAGCCCCTGCCAACCTAGCAGTTCAAAAGCACACCAGTGCAAGTAGATAAATAGGTACTGCTGTGGCGGGAAGGTAAACTGCATTTCTGCGTGCTCTGGCTTCTGTCACCGTGTTCCGTTGTGCCAAAAGCAGTTTAGTCATGACTGTGGACAAACGCCGGCTCCCTTGGCCTGAAGTGAGATGAGCACCGCACCCTATAGTCATCTTTGACTGGACTTAACCGTCCGGGGTCCTTTACCTTTTACCAGTGAATGACCCTTCTTCCCAGGGCTGTGCTGTAAAAAGAAAGCAGCTCAATATGTTTAAAGATGGGTTTCCCCCTTTCTTTAGAAGTTTCATAGCACAGTTGCTAGTTCAGCTCCTTCATGCTTGAGTGAGATTCACAGGTAGAGCACATTGATACTGAATTTCAACTTTTACATTTTAATAACAGATCAGCTTATGGGAAAATACCTTGTGTAAGGTTTGACATGCTCTCTATATCTAATGTTTCAACAATGTGTGGGACATATTGATATCGGTCAGTTTCTTAACCCCCAGAGGTTCACTGATTTAGCCTAAGAGACTAGTTGATCACTGAAAAGAATCATATAACTGTTGAATTGGAAGGGACTGTCAGAGTCATCTAGTGCAATAGGCCCAAGGTTGGAAAGATACCTAAAGTGTTAGGATGGTAGGATATAGATGTTTTACATGTTTTCTTTATTTCAGATGTCTGCAGTAGCACAGATGATGCTAGATTAAGATTTAGTAGTCAATCTCCACTTCTGCCCCATGCAAAACCAGGGGCGACTTGAACCCAAAATCTCCTCATTCATGCGCAAATGAAACATAGTACAATTATGTGTGTCACACATGCACAGCAAACATTCACTGCTGATACACAGATGTCACCTCTGTGTATGCATAGAGAGGCCTTTTTTTAAATCAGTAGAGCCTCTAAAGTGAATGGTATTGTGGCAGAGGTTTTAACATGTCTGCTGATGTTGCCCGTTGCTTAATCCTGCTAGTGCAAAGGCTTCCTTTGGCTGTTTTCATAAATTAAAAGGCTTCCTTTGGCTGTTTTCATAATTAAAAAAAACAAGAAAACTAAGCGGGCGGGAGCCGGCTGGTCTCAAAGATCTACTGAAGTCTGTTCACAGTTACGTTGGCAGGCTAGGATTTGTTCTGTAACTTGCATTTTGCTTGTTTGCATTTATATAATTAATGGGATTTTACCTGTGGATCTGAAAACCCATTGCCGTTTGCAAGCATTCAAATGGTGTTTGTAGATATTTTCAAGATACGTGTTCTAAAACACAAATGTGGAGAAAAGTTAACATTTCAAGGTACAATTTCTTTCCATTTCCTTTTTATTTCCAGTTTTAGTGACATGCGAAAATACGTAGACATTTTCCTAGAGTTTTGTCTTGGTGGCTCGCTTTTGGCCTGCAACACTCTGTTAATGTGTTCCGCCCACTTCTGTGTAGGCAGAAATACCACTTTATGCAAGCGAACTGTTATTACTTTGTCTGGCCCTTGAAGAAGGCAGCGTTTTATGAGGCAATATAATAATTTGGTTCCTGTATGTGGTCAGACCGCACAGCGACTATCTGAGTGGGTTGCCTTGCCAATGAGATGTGCCTCTCATCCCAGAGATGGCTTATTACCATTCCCTAAGTAAGCTCACTGCCAGTGGTGATGAGTGTCTGTTTATAACCCAGTAAGCTGTGCTCTATATTTAGCCCATAAATCTGGGGTGAGCAACATTCCTCATTGTGTGCAGAATGTATCTGGGGTGGGATCATGTAGTTGCATTACTCTAATGACAAGCTGGAGTCCATTCTGTAACACATTGGCATGAATTTACTCCCATCTGTATCAGTTGTTTTATTTGGGGCGGGGGGGGGGGGCGGGAGAAGGAGAAGGAGGTCCTTCTGCATGAGTTTGCTTTGCCACTCTGAATTTCCTCTTCTTTGGGAGCTATTTTATGGCCACTTTTCATAGCTGCTTCTTAGTTTTTGTGTTATTTTGATGATGATAATGATAATAATAATAATAATTTATTATTTATACCCTATGGGTTTCCCCAGCCGCTCTGGGTGGCTCCCAACAGAATATTAAAAACACGATAAAACATCAAACGTTAAAAACTTCCCTAAAAAGGGCTGCCTTCAGATGTCTTCTAAAAGTCAGGTACTAGTTTATTTCCTTGGCATCTGATGGCAGGGCGTTCCACAGGGTGGGTGCCACTAATGAGAAGGCCCTCTGCCTGGTTCCCTGTAACCTCACTTCTCACAGGGAGGGAACCACTAGAAGGCCCTCAGAGCTGAACGATGGGGGTGGAGGCACTTATTCAGGTATACTGGCCTGAGGTCGTTTCTCCGAGGTATTGGAAAGTATGTCAGTAAGTGAGAGGAAGCTGCCCTACACCAAGTCTGGTCCATTGAGCTTAGTATGAATAGCACTGACTTTCTAGGATTTCAGAAAGGCTAACATGGAGGCACTAGGAACTGGTCCTGAAACTTTGGCATGTATTCTATCATTGAGCTATTATCCTTTTATCATGATGATGAAAACAGGGAGGGTCAAAACTATGCTGCTGTTGCTGGAAAGGCACCTGCAAACTGAGTTTGGGGCCTGAATGTGCAAGGCACTTCCTTCCTTCCTTCCTTCCTTCCTTCCTTCCTTCCTTCCTTCCTTCCTTTTCAGTCCACTGAGATGTGTAGACTACAGCTGCCTAGTCTGAAGTTCTAAGAGGAACCAGCTGCTTTGCATTTTAACAATTCAGCAAAAATGCTATATTTGGATGAACGTGCTATCTGGAGAACAAAGAATCCCTTGGGTAGAGAGGGAACTTTCTTTTCTGAAGCCAAAATGACATGGACCAGAATTGATCAAATATGGGTAACTAGAGGAATGGCACCAAAGATAAAGAAAGCGGAAATTTGTCCAAAAACCTGCTCCGACCATAATGCTGTGAAGATGGAGATGAAACTAATATCAACTGGCTCTTTTAGATGGAGGATGAATGACATCTTATTTAGAGATGAAGATGTGATTAAATATATATATATATATTTGGATGAACGTGCTATCCCTGTTTTCAAACCCGGAACCTGAGTGTAGACTCTGTTGGTGAATAACTGGAGGGAGGAGTACAGGACAGGTAAGATAGGAGTCTCTGCTCACGGCAGAGCCACAGAAAAGTAGCTGCGAGATGGAACAACCTCTGACTCCACCCCACCCCCCAAAAAATTATGGGTAAGCGTCTTGTGTGCATGCATTCATTAGGAGTATTTCTGGCAGCAAAGGGCATCATGCAGAAACTCACCCTTGCCTACTGGGGCAGGAATGGGACATCCTATGATGTGTATTCTCAAGCCAAATCTTTCCCTGAACAAAGTGAGTCTACCCATTAACCACTGCAAAGATTAAAAGTGGAGTGGGAGTTGGTTCCAAGGGCATGTGCTCTGTGGCGCTCATCCTTCAAGCACGTTTCCACCTGATAGCTTTCCTGCCTCAGCAGGTCAGGATTCCCACACCCTGCGTTCTGCCACTGGAAGTATTTTCCAGCCGATTCTCGGCAACAGAGAGTCTAAGGACCCTTAAACCAGTCTTCGCCAACCGGGTGCCCTCCAGACACTTTGGATTTCAACCCCCAGCTAGGGATGGTGGAAGTTGCAGTCCAAAGCATCTGGAAGGCTTCCCTATGTATGTAACCAGGAAAAACAGTTTGCCGTTTGAGTTCCACATCCTATCTATGGTTGCTTTGGAGAGAAGCAGATGTTTTAGTCTCCCTTTTGTCCCCAGTGTTCCTGTTGAGGGGACAGTTTTGCAGCATCTTCTGCTGGCTCCCATTTGATCTCAAGGAGGCTCACAGCTCAGAGGTTTCCAGGTTCAGGCCCTGGCATCTTCAGGTGGAGATGTAAAACAACAATGACACCCCTCCTGTCTGAAAACCACTTCCAGAGTAGACTACGCTGTGCTTGATAGACAAATAATTTGACCCTGGTGTAAGGCAGCTTCCTATGATCCAGTGGCTCTTCTGTCCCTGAAGAAGAGTTAGGATTTGATATCCCGCTTTATCACTACCCGAAGGAGTCTCAAAGCGGCTAGCATTCTCCTTTCCCTTCCTCCCCCACAACAAACACTCTGTGAGGTGAGTGGGGCTGAGAGACTTCACAGAAGTGTGACTGGCCCAAGGTCACCCAGCAGCTGCATGTGGAGGAGCAGAGACGCGAACCCGGTTCACCAGATTACAAGTCTACCGCTCTTAACCACTACACCACACTGCAGGCACTAATCCTGGTGAGGATTAGTGCCTGCAGAACTGCCAGCTGCCATCAGGGATATTTCCCATTTGGCACAGGGTGTTTGTATGCATCAGTGGTAGCTGGAGATATTTTGATGGAAGATGGTGTGCTTGATCCCCAGTTTTCCTGCAAGGAAAATTCCACAAACTGGTTCATTTTGACCCTACCTGAAATGATGATATAGCTATTTTGAGGACTTGGGTGATGAGAAGACATCATCAGATTCTGCCTAACTGGAGTGCTATTGCCTTGTTGTCCGTTGGTCCTAACAGTGGTTTTGTGGCTTTCTAACAGCGGGAGCAAGCTTCATACTGAGCAGCTGGGTTGAAATTTGCCCCCACTGAAACTATAAAGGCATTTTTAAAAAAGAAAAGAAACTTAG